CTTTCTACTCTATGTAGAAAGCCTCGCCTATCTCGTGCAGAGCAACTATCGGGTTTAAACTGCAGACCTTGTGGTTAGCAGCCCCAATGTGAAACCACTACGGCACCTGGGCTCCTTCCTATGTAAAAGACCCTGGTTCCATTTCCCAGCCCCACCTCATGTGCACCTCATGTGCACGCACCACCTGTCTGAGGGTGGAGGCTTATGTGTTGTGATGATGCTCAGCTGGTTTCAGCAGAGCTTCCAGACTAAGATGGGCTACCGAAAAAAGGAAAAAAAAAAGCCCAGTCATCTATTTCTGAAAATCAACCAATGCCGACTGTGTGGATTGCAACAACCTGATCTCAAGGCCCATGGGGTCACCAGGAGCTAGGGGCTGACTTGACAGCAGCTAGCCACCACAACAGATGGGGTGAGATCCTGGCTGGCTGGTCCCCAGGTGAAAGGGGAACCAGTGTCTCGGAGGTGCTCCTCTCTACCCAAGAACACTTTGCAAGTGAGTTCTATCTTCTCGTCCCCATCTCCTTCCATGATTCCTCTCAATCCAAAAAGAAGCTGAGTGTCCCTCCCCCTGTGGCCCCTTCCAGAGCCCACCCTTCCTGTCCCAGGAACACTGTCCCTGCTGCCACTTCTCACAGCATGCGGGAAGTTCACCACTGCGTGGGTAATTTAAAAGAGCCCTGGTGAGCCACTGGTTAAGGATACTGGAAAGGGTGGTGATCTGAACCCATTAGCAGCTCTGAGCAAGAAGGAGCGGCCGTCTGCTTCCTGAAGGTGTACAGCATTGAAACGATGACAAGGCCCCGCTCTCCTCGGTCCCACAGGCTCCCCGGGAGTCGGAATGGGCTGGCCAGCACTTCGGCTTGGTGCAGATAGAAATAAGCAAACAAGCACACAAAACCCCACACCTCCACATGGGGTTTGAGTTTTTGACTTTGGGGCAATCTATGCATCCCCTGAGATGTTGAGCTTCTTAGAAGAAAGTAGCATGTTACAAAATGTGTACCAGTTGTTGAGAGGAAAGCCTGTCTGCTCTGCCCACTTTCATCCAAATCACAAAAAGCCAAGTTTTAAGGTTGGCCTTAAAAATTAAACAAGAAAAAGAATAAGGACACAAAGACACCCCCTCCTGAAACACACACACAAGAGGAAAAAAAGGAAGGAAGGAAGGGAGGGAGGAAGGAAGGAAAGAAAAAGGAAGGAGCAATTTAATATATGGACCATTATTTTTTTCTTCCAGGTCTCAGCTGCAGCCAGTTGGAACAACACCCTTTACCCAAAACTATGTTCTACGCTTAGGCAGCCTTTCCAGGGAGGATGGTCTCTTGAGTCACAACCGGAGGCTTCGAGCAGTGGGGGGCTCTGCAGCCGGCAGCCGGCCTTTGTCCTGACTGAGGAGGTGGCCTGAGCGACATCCAAAACACACGTTTCCTCTCACCCACTTACCACTGCATGGAGTCCGCTTTGTCTGTCATTTCAAAGGCTCCAGCTTCTTGGCCCCGTGGAGCAAGGGGTGGGTGGCAGGGTTGGGGGAATGGTTGGGAGACAGTTTAGGTTTCTATACAAGAAAAAGGAAGCCTGACACACACACCTCCTGGGGTGACAGGCGTCACTGGCAGACGCACACCAGCCCCTGTAGGCAGAGACAAGAGTGGTTGTTATGGCGGACACAGGGAGCTCAGCAAGCATGTCCTGAATGTGGGAGGCCACAGCAGCTGCCTCCCCGTGAGACAGCCTTTGGGGCCCCTGCCAGTGGCCACAGTGACTTGCTGGCCCTTGTCAGCTGTCACGCCTTGCCTGGCACTGGGGCTCCAGCCTGGCACGAGGGGTGGGGGCATCCAAGTCACCAGCTCCAGTGAGCGCCAAGTCCTGTGCCCAGGCTGGGTCCACACGGCCACCTGCAGTCCCCTTTGAGCCGTTCACCGGACAGCACTGAAATGCTCATGTGTCCTACTAGTGGCCCCTTGCCTGGAGGAAAGGCGGCTCTTCTTTTGTTGGTGCCAATCATGTGCCCACACAGTGTGCCCCGTGCAGCACCAGGTACATTACAGCACCTCTCTGCACTGCTATTGGACATTGCGTAAGGAAGTCCGAAGAAGAAATGACGGATTTGAATTGCAGTGCTGGTGAAGAATATTGAAAGTACCACGGACTGGTAGAAGGACAAATAAATCTGTCTGGAAGAAGGACAGCCAGAGTGCTTCTTCGAGGCCAGGATAGTGAGACTTCTTAGAGGCCAGGATAGTGACATATTTTGGACAAGTTGTCAGGAGAGACCAGTCCCTGGAGGAGGACATCATGCTTGAAGTGAGGGGCAGCAAAAAGAGGAGGCTCCTCAAGGAGATGGATTGGCACAGGGGCTGCCACGATGTGCTCAAGCATAGGCACAGTTGTGGGGATGGCGCAGTGTGCACAAGGTGGCTATAGGTTAGAACTGGCTCAATGGCACCTAGCAATAACAACAACTGTTAGTAGTTGCTGCCGAGTGGATTCCAACAACCCCCCCACCCCACCCCGTGTGCAGAGTCCCAGTGCTCTATAGGACTATCGAGTCAGAAGCACGTGGCCAGGCCTGTCTTCCGAAGCACTACTCAGGGAGGGGATCCAAACACCCAGCCGTTCATTTTTCTCACCACCCAGACTCTTCTGTGTTGAATCCAAACCCACCGCCAAAGTGTTACTTCCAACTCCTCGCGACCCCACATGGATTTCCCAAAGCTAGACATCTTTATGGGAGCAGCCTTATCTTTTTCTCTCGGTGGGTTGGAACTCTTGGCCTTGCAGCTGGCAGCTAGGTACTTACCCAACCGTGCCCCCAGGGTTCCTTCTGAGTTGGATAGCAGCCGCCCAAATCGACGTTCTTCCCAGAACCTCAAACCCTGACTTCATTTCGAAATAGAGTCGTCGCAGGTATCGTGAGTTAAAATAGGGTCCTGCTGGAGCAAGGTGGGCCCTTAATCCCATGAGACTGCATGCTTGTAAGCAGAGAAGAGACACAGACATGGAGACACACAAGGAAGAGGGCCGAGTCATGATGGAGGCAGAGCAGGGAGTGATGCATCTACTAGCCAAGGATGGTTGGCAACACCAGAAGCCAAGAGAGAAGCATGGGGCGCCTTCCTCCTTAGAGTCCTCTGAGACACCCTCCCTCTGCCAACACCCTGGATCCTGGCCACCAGATCTGTGTGAGAGGAGAACTACCTACTGTTGGGGCCTTCCATTCAGTGGAGCTTTGTTCCAGCCAGTCTGATGTGTGATGATCTTCGGAGAGACAATGTATTTAACTCTTGTAATGCCTACTGCATTCCACTCTTGACTGTGCGCAGTCAGAATGCTAATGGGAGTGGCTTGAGCCAGTCAATGCCAATTTCAATAATAAGAAAAAATATACTAAAAAAATAACATGCCGGGCGGCTGACCAAAAGGTTGCTAGAGGTTTAAGCTGACCTAAATGTGCCTAGGAAGAAAGGCCTGGTGGCCTAAAACATCAGCCACTGAAAACCCTAGGGGGACCATTCTTCCCTGACACGCAAGGGGTCTTCACGAACCAGGGCTGACTTGCTCACACCGGGTTTAACAGAGTCTCAGAGAGATAAAGGCATCCCCCAAATCACTGCACTCACATGTTTGCCGTAGTTCCAGCAGAGCGACTTTCCTTAGTCTCAGGCTTCTTCCTACTCAGGAATAAGGCCTCGGCCCTTCTCCACCCTGGAGCTCTGATACACTTCGCGTTTCACTCATTCTTATAGCCAGCTGACCCACAAAGCTCACTGAACTGTAAGTCAGGAAACCGCAAGGCATTTCTCATTATTTCTCCCAAGAGACCCTCTTCCTCAAGGAGATGTGTGAAGTCAAGTGTTGGACCAACCTTCAGGAACATACCACAGCAAAAAGGGGCTGTGTGTGATGGGGAGAGTCTCCCTCTGCTTCCTGGGCACCCTTGCCTTGGGGTGGGGAACGTGGATGGTACAACTCTGCTCCAGCTTTATGTTTTATCTCCTTATTGACTTCCTCTTCCTGCTGCTCCGTAACAAGAGACATGGTTTACAAGGCCTCTCTGTCCAATGTGGCTGCCACCAATCACCTGTGGCTTGGGAACACTTGAAGGGAAGTTAGTTTATCTGCGGGAACACATTTTAAACTTAAGTTCCTTTTAATTTATTTAAATAGCCGCAAGTGGTTAGTGGGCACCATACTGGACCGCACAGATCTAGAAGTGTAGCTACCCAAAGACCCTCTTCCCCTTGCCATTTCGCTACCCCCTGCCCACAATTGCAGTGGTAGCTTTGGTGGTGGAGGAATGCCACCGCCACGCCAAGTGGTGCTCTTTCACATATGGAGACAAAAAAGATGGAGTCCACCCTCACCAGATACAAGTGTGTGTTTTCGGATAGAAGGCCACAGGTTTCGCTTCACTGAATCCCCCCAAATTAAAAAGTCTCATAGAACAAACAGAGCAAACGCTCCTTTGGGAGGGGTAGGAGAGAGACTTAACCCCAAGGGCCTCCTCTTGGTCTCTCGAGACCTTTGACTCAAAGGGATGAGAGGGAAAGAAAGGCAGTAGCAGGGAGTAAAGCTACTGGCTGTGGCTCCGGAAACTTAGTTCTCTGAACCTGCCAGAAGACCATGTTTCATTTTTTTAATTAGCTGCATTTTGAAAGGCGAGGCGGAGAGTAGGTAAATGGAGGCACGTTCGTTTTATGTAGCCTCACCCAATGCGATTCGCCCTCCAGGAAAACCCAAAAAGAAGTTTTCTGAGACCCTTGCCCAAGCGCTCACAATGACCTCCTTGAGAGGTGGCTCGCAGCACCTCGGAGCCCATCTACGGCGCGGCGGCCAATGAGCGTACGCCTCTGCCCGGCTTCGCGCTCCGATTGGTTGTGCTCCGCCGCCCGCGGCCCCGCAGTTCCCAAGCCCGGTTTATAGAGGTCCGGCCCGGGCTGCTGCCTAGCCTTCCGGCTCCGCGCGAGCAGCTCCGCGGGAGGGGCGGCCTGCCGATAGGCCCACCCCAGGGCATTCCCCAAGGGCACCCTCGGCCGTCCCGCCCCACTCCCTTGATGTACTATGCGGTTTCCCAGGCTCGCGTGAACGCGGCCCCCACGACCATGCTGCGGCCACAGAGGCCCGGAGATGTGCAGCTCGGGGCCTCCGTGTATGAGCTAGTGGGCTACCGGCAGCCGCCCTCCTCTTCCTCCACGTCCTCGTCTTCCACGCCGGTCCCCCTCCTCCCCAAGGCGGGGCGCGAGAAGCCAGAGGCACCGGCCGAGTGTCGGGGCTCTGGGTCGGGGCTGGGTGCGTACACGGGCGCCAGGACGGACGCCAAGGAGGAGCAGCAGCAGCAACTGCGCCGCAAGATCAACAGCCGCGAGCGGAAGCGCATGCAGGACCTGAACCTGGCCATGGACGCGCTGCGGGAGGTCATCCTGCCCTACTCGGCGGCGCACTGCCAGGGCGCGCCGGGCCGGAAGCTCTCCAAGATCGCCACGCTGCTGCTCGCCCGTAACTACATCCTGCTGCTGGGCAGCTCGCTGCAGGAGCTGCGCCGCGCCCTGGGAGAGGGCCACCAGCCCGCCGCTCCGCGCCTGCTGCTGGCCGGCCTGCCGCTGCTCGCCGCCGCGCCGGGCTCGGTGCTGCTGGCGCCCGGCGCCGTGGGGCCCCCGGATGCGCTGCGCCCCGCCAAGTACCTGTCCCTGGCGCTGGACGAGTCGCCCTGCGGCCAGTTCGCACTCCCAGGCGGCGGCGCTGGGGGCAGCTCGGGCGGCCCGGGCCTCTGCACCTGCGCTGTCTGCAAGTTCCCTCACCTGGTTCCCGCCGGCTTGAGCCTGGCGGCCGCGCAGGCACAATTTTCCAAGTGAAGGAGGCCCGGGCCCGGCCTGGGGGCGCGCCTCAGCCCGGCCTCCTGCCTTGCTTCTCTGCGCCCCAGCGCCCCCGGGAGAGCGGGGCCCGAGAGAGGAGGACATTGGGAACCTTCTGGCCCAGAGGCAGGGACAATCGGCACTCCAGTGGTCGCCCTCACCCTCAGAAAATTAAAGGGACATGAGCGGATGTACCCCCAAGCTTTGGGACGCTTTAGGGGTCTGAGTTGATTCCAGCTGCTTCGATCGGGAAGCGCGCATCCCCTTCCGGGAGTTGTGCGTTCTCCGCGCCGGTGTGGCTCTTAAGGCGCCGTGGCTGGGCGGCCGGGTTGTTCAGCTCGACCTACTTGGGGCCTGAGGCCAGCCCACCGCGCGACCTTCCCGGGGACTCCGCACTTCCGCCCCCACGGGCATTACCTGCTTGACAGGGGTTCAGGGTTGAAATCTGAAGCCTTCACCGGGGGCCGCAGGTGGCAAGCACTTTTGTTCCCACCGGTCAAGTCCTATCAGAGGAAGCTAGACTTCAAGTTGCCTGAAGAAAGACCAGTTAGTCGTGCCGGCCGGCAAGAGCGTTGCAGAAGGACAGACAGACGCTGGGTGGTATTGGCATTGCAGTGGTGCGCTGACTACTCTCACTCGGGCCTTGGAGGGTGGTGGGTTGGAGAGCCGGTCCGCTTCCGCACGCGGGCTGTTCAGAGTGCTATTTTGGAGAATCGCGTGACCAGGTGCTTTCGGGTGGAGTCTGTTGACTCCTGCGATTTTAGGAAGTCGGTTTAGAACTCGAGATTTTGCCCCTTTCCCCTCCCAAGGTAGCGTAACCAGCAGTTGAGCTTGTTTAGAAACAAAACCAACGCTTCCCACGCACACGGCGCTCCCAGTTAACTAAAATCCGTAACAAGGCATTCAGCGGTTGAGGGCTGGTCCGGAGCAGGACCGCCATCACCCTGCTTTCGCGTTGGAGGACAAGGACTGCACTCGGAGCCGCAACCGCCGGCCGCCGGGTCTGGAACCAGGGAGCCTGGCACTTCTTCTCACGGCGGCGTTGTCCTGGGGAAACGAAGTAAATCACACGGTTTGATTTGTTTACAGATGTTAACAAATTAGTCTGCACAAGATTATGTTACGATCTTACAGAAATTTGCTTTGATTCGTGTGTGTGTTGTGTGTTTAAGGGTTTGTTGTGGGGTTTTTTTTTGGTGGTGGTTGTCGGTCGTATCCGAACTTAACTGGCAGTTAATTTTATCTCTAACTTCGGCTGTGCGGAATCCACAAAATAAATAATTGAAAAGCCCTTACTGGTTTCTTCTGTTTATTTTTGTTAAACTGTCTGTGTGCACTGGTAATTCAGAATTTCAGGATGACATTTAAAGCTGAAGAGATTCGGATTCAAAAATGCATACCACTGACATTCTTCCATTTACAGAGGATTCTATTCACAAGCCACAGCAGGTTCAGGTTTGGGCTGGCAATGTAAAGACTGCTGGGGGTGGGGTGGGGGTGGGGGCAGCAGGGATGAGAGAAGGTAGCAAGGCAATCCCAGGGATTATTTCTCACCAGTCTGGGAGAATATTTTAACTACAGCGGTCCTCCTTTGCAAAACAGGTTAAACAACACATTTATCACAAATTTATTCTGTATCTCAACATCTTTCTCAGAAATTCACTTTTAGAAGTCTCAGTGGCCTAGCGCTTAAATGTCACATAACTATGGACTGCAGCCCCATGGCTCAATTAAGATTGGAGTTGCCCCTCTGCAATTATGACCTTGGAAGCTGTTGAATTCGACTAAGAAGCTCTTCTGTCAGGTTGATGATCTTAAGAAGAACACAGACATGCAATATCGCATAGTCCATTATTCTGGAAACATTTTATAGTCACTCATTAAATCCAACCACTGTTTCAAAGGCCAACCAAACAATCCACTGCCACCAAGTCTATTTAACTATTAGGCAGGGTAGTAGTAACAGAAGCCCCCTCTAACCTGAGAAGAATTGAAACAAGCACACGCAACGTGGCTTACTCAGTTCTGTCCACACTGCTTTATTTACCTGGGCATCTAGGAAAAGTGAACATTTCACTTTGGAACTATGTTAAGGATGGTAGGAAGGATCTGGACTATTGGCCTAAAGGTTGGGGGTTCAAATGCACCCAGGAGCACTGTGGATAAAAGAGCTGGCAATCTGCTCCCATGAAGACTGTTGGTTAGTTACCACTGAGCCCAATGCTGAGTCATTACTATGTAAAGATTACATAGCAGAAAACCCAGTGGAACCATTCTAGTCTATCCCAGGTGGGGCTGCTCTGAGTGGGATGGACAACAGCAGTGGGGTCACCTTTGATGGGAAGTATCTATGTTCTCAAAAAGGACAGGAAAGGGCATGCAATGAAGCAACTGTATGACAAGCTCTGTCCACTGCAACTGGGGAAATGACAGACTTTTGTGACATGTAAAATTTCATTGTGGCCTTTTGTTTATTCAACACCCATCTTGGCTTTCCTTGCAACTTAACAGGGCCCGAAGGCATAATGGGTACATGGTGGGCTGCCAACCACCAGGTCAGCAGTTCCAGACCACCAGCTGATCCAAGTGAGGAGGAATGTAAATAGGAAGCTTCAGGAGAATGTGGGATACGTGAAGGTGCAGTGAGGGGATTGCAATGCACAGCTTTCAAACTGCTGACCTTGCAGTTGGCAGCCCAATATGCCACCAGGTCTTAATGGTGGCAATAAGTTTGTTTTGTTCGTTTGCTTTTTTCTGACGGCACCCTAAGAAGACTCAGACAAGTGCATTACAGAGAGAACTTGTCTGCAGTCCTCTCCCGAGCCCAGACACATGCTTTGTTTAGAATAACAACAGCCAACAGCGGGTCCTCTTCACACACAAATGAATGGTAACCCTAGAAGCAGTACTTTTGGACTCAACCTGGTAACTGCTCCCCTTAATTTCTTGCATCTGTAGAAAGGGCAGAGAAGCCCATAGGGCAGAAGTAGATGGGTGGGTGTAGGTGTTGCCTTTTTGTAAACTGGAGAAATTCCCCGTGCCTAATGGAAAGAAATACTGTGAATGATTTTTTATTTAACTGAAAAGAAAAACCACACCCCATCATGGCTTTGGGAACTACCGATACTAAAAGTGTTGAAAAGCAAACACGTTACTCTGAGGACGATCTTCAATCGCCTCATATGCATGTGGAAGGTGCCCATGGAGAGAAAAGAATTGCATTGTGGTGCTGGTGAAGAGGTACAGCCAGAAAGCTCCTTGAAAGGCAAGGATGGCCGAGAGACTTCTTACATACTTTGGACATGTTGCCAGGAGAGACCAGTCCCTGGAAAAGGACATGGGGGCAGTGAAAGAGGAAGGTCCTCCCTGAGGTAGATTGACAGGCTGCAACAAGAGGCTTAAACATAGGAAGAGTTGTAAGGATGGCCCGGGACCGGCAGTGTTTCACTCAGCTGGATGAGTAGAATTGACTATGAATTGCTCCGGACTCAGAGGCACCCAACAACAAAGTTTATGACTGAATGGAGCAAGGATTTGCGAGACTGCTGAGGCAGCCTTAATATATTTAAAGTACCTGTCTCCAGGTAGCACCTTGCTGGTCATTGTGTTAAGCAAGATAAGCCAACACATTCTTTATAAGGAGTTGACATCCTACAGAGCATCCTTAGGCATTCAGGCGTCCCACGGGATAAAAGGGGTTGAATCTAACTATATATGTATGGTGACCAGATTTTAACATTGGTAAAGCGGGACACCATTGATAAAACTCAATCCTGGCGAAATAGCCACATGGCAGCTGAAAACCGTATACCCTAGCTTGTCATGCATTCTTTCCAAAAATCGAGACTTTTTAAAAACGCGGGAAAATTTGTTAAAAATCAGGACTGTCCCGCCAAAAGCGGGACGTCTGGTTACCTTATATATATGGTGTCAGCCGAGCAAAGCTGAACCTCTCAACATATATCTATAACAGAAGAGTGTATTCTGTAGGCACAGGGTCAGGGTTAGACATGTATGCTGGGAGCAAGGAGCTGATGTATGAGGGAGAGTGTTTCGTTTTGTTTAGACCTCTGCAGTGCCAGGTGCCAAAGAGCTTGCAACATGGACCTCCTCCATTTATATGGAGCTGGAGCAGGCCTTAGGATTTTAAAAATCAATTCATTTTGGGTGCATGCAGTACATCCCTGGAAAAAGAAGCCCAGGATTCTTCTTCCGGGCGTGTTTTTCCTCGTTCTTCCTGGTCCGTGATGTGGGCGCAAGTCGTCAGCACAAGGAATCCAAACTGGCGTGACGGGAGCAGAGTCTTCCGTCACTTTCCTAGATCTCCGAGCTGCACATCAGATCGGGGCGGATCCCTCCACGCTTGTTTTACCTGCTCACAAGGGTCACAACAATTCCCCCAGCTCTGTGACCGTCAACGATTTCAAAGTTGTCAATGTATAGCCATGCTTCACCCTTCACAGTTAGAAACAGGACGTTGACTTCAGCCCAATTGGAAGCAGCATTAGCTTCTTTGGTGCTTTTCAGAGCCTCTGCCGGGATGTTCCTGCGTGCCGTTGTAGTGGCTCAGAAAGGCTGGGAAAAGCTGGCTTTGGGATTTTAAAGTATTTTTCTTTCTTCCTTTTAGAAAAAAATCTTGTGAACAATTTGAAGGCTTGCAGAGCAGATCATCAGTTTTCCAGTCAACCATCCACGCTCATTGTGTCTCAACTCATCCGTTGCAACCTCCTCAATGGGCCGCCACGTGTCCCTCTCCCTCCCTGCGTCTCCTGTTTCCATGCCTCCTCTTTCCCTGGCCCCCTGAACGCTGCCCTTGAGCAAACGCTGCCCTTTTGATTCTAGATCATTGGTTATTCTACCAAGGGTGCATTCAGTTTCAGACCTGTAGAGTCACTAAGAGCCATGGTCTTGGGGGTGGGGTGGGGGGCGGTGTTGTCCCACCTGTCTGTATCCATGACCAGCAAGCCTGCTCTCTCTTATGGTTTTGAGTTTTGTTTCACTTTTTGGCATAGGCTTTTGGCAGAAAGAACATGCTTAAGCTGGTCTTTGAAGGGCTTGAGGGCGTTAGGCAGGCTGCTCAGAAGCACCGTGTGGCTCACTGCCAAAGAAGGTGCCTGTACCCAACCAACCACCCACAGGCAGCCCCAGTGATGACAGTGAACGGAGCTTCTCTAAGGGGAAAAGACAGAAGGCCCAAGAAGGTCTGTTGTTCTGTAGGTGTTGGAGGCCAGGTGAGCAATCAGTAAACAGAGAGCAGCTAGAATGCTCTGTGGGATTTGCTTCACCTGGAGTGCTCATCTATTTACAGGTCTTCTCCTCTAAGGGAAACTGATTACACCAGGCCTGAGAATATCACCCATGAAACACAGAGCTGAGAGAGAACAAATGTTACCGTCACGGAAGAGTCTTCAGCCCAACCTGGAAAAGATGCTAATCAGCCCAGGTTCCCATGATGAGCCCAAATAGTGGCCTATCCCCCCGTCTGGTTTCCGAGTTTCATCTCTGCTGGTACCCAGGCGTGCATGTGGTGCTGGGCCTAAGTTGGCAGTCAATAACCAGAGCTTCACTCTCCCAGCTAGAGCTCTTGTTGTGTGGAGCAAAACAGGCCACAGAGAAAGCCAGCCAGGAGGGCTTGATTCTGCAGCACGCAAAGGTGTCTGAGAACTTGCCAAGATCAAAGTCCACTGCCGTTCAGGGCCGTCCCCGGTATGTCAGAGTAGAAGTGTGCTCCTGGTGGCTTTCCCCTGGGTCATCTTTCAGAAGTCGATCACCAGGCCTTTCTTCTGAGTGCCTCTGGCTAGATTCAAACGATTCACCTTTCAGTCAGGCGCTGCGGGTGAGGGAGAGGGGCTCGCTGATGCTTTTGGTTACTCCATGCATTTCCTGGGCAAGGGTCTCTCCTCTACAAGGGTCTTTCCAGCTCATTCACTGTCCCTCCTCCCTCTTCCCTGCACGCACTAAACCGTCAACACAACCGTCAACACAGCACTCTGGCTCTAAAGCAGGAGTGAAGAGTCCTGTTTCGGCAACAGATTTGCGTAGAGCCAGCAGGTTTTCATGGAGGAAGAGCCACCTGAAGTATTGCTTTAAAGCACAATACAGTTTATCCTGTCGAGCTATGGATGCGCAGACGCTGGTCTCGTTAATTATGCAGCAGTTGCTACTGAATTCCTTTTGAGCACTTTCATGGGTGGATCATTCATGCAGACAGTTCAGTTCACTACAGGATTCCCTTGGAGCATCACCACAGCCACTTCAGAACCCTGTCTTCCTGCCTGCACTCAGGGTGAG